CTGATTCCTGATTCGTTTTTAACATGTCAAAATTGGTGTCTTTGGAGTTTTTCAGATGTGTAGGACGCTCGGGGAGAAAAAATATTTTTCGACGGGAACTAACCTATATTATCATGGATCGCTATTTTTGAAAATTTTAACGAAAAGTCTTGGACCAAATCTGATTCCTGATTCGTTTTTAACATGTCAAAATTGGTGTCTTTGGAGTTTTTCAGATGTGTAGGACGCTCGGGGAGAAAAAATATTTTTCGACGTGAACCAACCTATATTATCATGGATCGCTATTTTTGAAAATTTTAACGAAAAGTCTTGGACCAAATCTGATTCCTGATTCGTTTTTAACATGTCAAAATTGGTGTCTTTGGAGTTTTTCAGATGTGTAGGACGCTCGGGAAGAAAAAATATTTTTCGACGGGAACTAACCTATATTATCATGAATTGCTATTTTTGAAAATTTTAACGAAAAGTCTTGGACCAAATCTGATTCCTGATTCGTTTCAATCATGTCAAAATTAGTGTCTTTGGAGTTTTTCACATGTGTAGGACGCTTGAGGAAAAAAATATTTTTCGACGTGAACCAACCTATATTATCATGGATCGCTATTTTTGAAAATTTTAACGAAAAGTCTTGGACCAAATCTGATTCCTGATTCGTTTTTAACATGTCAAAATTGGTGTCTTTGGAGTTTTTCAGATGTGTAGGACGCTCGGGGAGAAAAAATATTTTTCGACGTGAACTAACCTATATTATCATGGATCGCTATTTTTGAAAATTTTAACGAAAAGTCTTGGACCAAATCTGATTCCTGATTCGTTTTTAACATGTCAAAATTGGTGTCTTTGGAGTTTTTCAGATGTGTAGGACGCTCGGGGAGAAAAAATATTTTTCGACGTGAACTAACCTATATTATCATGGATCGCTATTTTTGAAAATTTTAACGAAAAGTCTTGAAACAAATCTGATTCCTGATTCGTTTTTAACATGTCAAAATTGGTGTCTTTGGAGTTTTTCAGATGTGTAGGACGCTCGGGGAGAAAAAATATTTTTCGACGTGAACCAACCTATATTATCATGGATCGCTATTTTTGAAAATTTTAACGAAAAGTCTTGGACCAAATCTGACTCCTGATTCGTTTTTAACATGTCAAAATTAGTGTCTTTGGAGTTTTTCAGATGTGTAGGACGCTCGGGGAGAAAAAATATTTTTCGACTTGAACTAACCTATATTATCATGAATTGCTATTTTTGAAAATTTTAACGAAAAGTCTTGGACCAAGTCTGATTCCTGATTCGTTTTTAACATGTCAAAATTAATGTCTTTGGAGTTTTTCACATGTGTAGGACGCTTAAGGAAAAAATATTTTTCGAGCTGAACTAACCTATATTATCATGAATTGCTATTTTTGAAAATTTCAACGAAAAGTCTTGGACCAAATCTGATTCCTGATTCGTTTCAATCATGTCAAAATTAGTGTCTTTGGAGTTTTTCACATGTGTAGGACGCTTGAGGAAAAAAATATTTTTCGAGCTGAACTAACCTAAATTATCATGAATTGCTATTTTTGAAAATTTTAACGAAAAGTCTTGGAACAAATCTGATTCCTGATTCGTTTTCAACATGTCAAAATTCGGGTCTTTGGAGTTTTTCAGATGTGTATGACGCTCGGGGAGAAAAAATATTTTTCGACAGGAACTAACCTATATTATCATGAATAGCTATTTTTGAAAATTTTAACGAAAAGTCTTGGACCAAATCTGATTCCTGATTCGTTTTCAACATGTCAAAATTAGGGTCTTTGGAGTTTTTCAGATGTGTAGGACGCTCGGGGAGAAAAAATATTTTCCGACGGGAACTAAAACCTACTTATATTATCATGATTTGCTATTTTTGAAAATTTTAACGAAAAGTCTTGGACCAAATCTGATTCCTGATTCGTTTTTAACATGTCAAAATCAGTGTCTTTAGAGTTTTTCATATGTGTAGGACGCTCGGGGAGAAAAAATATTTTTCGACGTGAACTAATACCTATATTATCATGGATCGCTATTTTTGAAAATTTTAACGAAAAGTCTTGGACCAAATCTGATTCCTGATTCGTTTTTAACATGTCAAAATTGGTGTCTTTGGAGTTTTTCAGATGTGTAGGTCGCTGGGGAAGAAAAAATATTTTTCGACCTGAACTAAACCCATATTTTATCATGAATTGCTATTTTTGAAAATTTTAACGAAAAGTCTTGGACCAAATCTGATTCCTGATTCGTTTTTAACATGTCAAAATTAGTGTCTTTGGAGTTTTTCATATGTGTAGGACGCTCGGGGAGAAAAAATATTTTTCGACGTGAACTAACCTTATATGCACAAGCCCGGGAAATAGTATCAAGAAAAAGAATGGTTGAAAATCACTTCGTATTCGAAAACAGGACGTCCAATTCACTAACTTCCCATATTTTGACGCATTACTATCGGTATAATGATTTTCCTCATACTATATTAACGATTTCTGATCCATTGGATTTCTCCTGATAATCTATTCGATTGTACTAGTTCTGATGATTGTTATTTCATTATCCCTGGTAAAAATTAACTTCATGATCATCAATTCCAGAACAAGTATTGAGTGAGAGAGAGAGAACATCTTTATTAGGGATATACCCCAAAAGGCCATTGACCGAAGTCTTTCAGCCCTGTATTGAGTGAATTTCCTGATTTAATAAATTTTTCCTCCTGGAATGTCGGTGGTTCTGTGGTTGCTGGCGAACAGTGTATCATTGAAGATTATCCTACTTGGTCATTGGTGTAACTCCTTTCTTGCTCCTAAAAATGTCAGACATATTCTACACAGTGCTGCCACTCGAATTTGTGGAATTACTTGCAAATTAATTTCAAAATCCTTGCATTTTACTGGCAAAATTTCGAAAATCCTGACAAAATCCTTGCAAATATTCTTCTACAAAATGCTTATGAATTTTATGTTTTACACAAAATAATTTCGTGTGCTCCACTGTATCATCGTAATAAAAATGGAATAATATAAAATTGAAGGTGTTGAAACGGTTGAACTACTAGCCATCATTTTGACATTTGACAACTATGACGTATAAAAGCACGTGACATCTAGCGGCCAGAAGCCCAAGGGTATCCAAGTAACAGGATGGGATCTTTCTCCATCACTGGAATCCTTCTTTTTCTGTAAGGAAAATATTCCACTCAAAATGAGCTGGTTGTATCATTATTTGAATAATTTCCGAACTGAGCAACCACCTTCTGATCATATCGTTTAATTTATAATTTTTTATCTAATTCCTCGCAATAATAAGGATCTTATATTATAATCAAATACTCTACATCTTTGCTCACTTCTCAAGCAGCGGCTGCCAATGAACTCAATGTAAACACTGTTCAATGGTCGCAGCAGGCATCAGACCTCCATTTTTGCTTTGTCATTTTCCATGTCAATGTCGATGACAACTGTCATTAGTGTCAAGTCAAGCCCAATGAACTGTTGTATTGAGTTCATTGGTCAAGCTTCGATCCATTAGTCAAGTGCCTAGCACAAAAATGAAGTGCCTAGCACAAAAATGAAGTGCCTAGCACAAAAATGACAATAATGACAAATACGCAAATACCACAGAAGATCAAAACATAGAACACAGAAAAACGAATTAAGTACGGAACACGACTGATACACTACGCAAAACGAAGTCATGGTCATTCACTCAGAATCCTTGCAAAATCCTTGCAAAATGTTGAATCCTTACCGATTACTGCAAAAATTTGTGATTACTTGCAAATGCAAGTAATTACTTGCAAAACGGCAGCACTGATTCTACATCAATAATTACGTAATAAGATACTGGGGTTTTCATGAAAAGTGAGAGACAGAATTTTTTTCTATTCTCGAATCTGCATTGTTTTCCAACCTATATCTTGTCTGCTAATATGATTTTCCAGACTTGTATAGTTGGTTCAATGCGGCTGCTAGCTAGCAGCACCTGGCAGTGTATATCACTGATGGTAATTTAATTCAATTGGCCATTTACTATATCTTTTCTAGTTCTTATGATAGTCCTCAGACATAGAGTTTCGCTCACCCTGTACACTATATTGTGATATTTGAATGATATAATTTCATTTTATTTATTTGCCTTCCAAATCCTGTAAGAATAAAAATGGAATTTCACTTTTGAGTCAATAAAAAAATCAATAATTATTTTCAAATTATAATTGAATGCAACATTATCCTTTTTTTCTAAATGAATATTTATATTTAATCACGTGTACTCTTAAATAAAAGCAAAAAACAAGTAAATATTTCGAATAATGCGAGCGCTTCCCATTAGCCAACATGAGATAGAAAGAGATAGGTATCCGTAACCACTGCGGGTTGCCTGAACAATATTTTTGCCTCACTCGTCCTTCACAGAGGATCCCTCCCAGGTGTTTATATTGAGTTCAGAGCTTTATTGATGCTTTATGCCTTTATGCACACCTTCTTTCAATTTTAAACTCTTCTTCTTGATCAAAGCATAGTCCTCAGCGTACTTAGCCTGATATAAATATGTGTATTATAACATTCAGTGATCCCATAAGTACAATAAGAATCATTCCTTCATATTGTTTTCGAAGTCTAATTTGAACATACGACTAGAATTTTCAGAATTTCCAACATTTTGGGAAAAAAGAGGAAGAAATTGTTTGTCTTGACTTCTGACAAAATCGCGCCTGCGCAAGTCACAGTTTTATTTGAAAAGTTGGTCATCTCTTTATTGGGAATAGTTAATGAAAGATAAAATTTAATTTAGGTGCATAAATGAATGAAAATTACAAATTAATGAAAAAGCGAAGTGCATAAATCCGCCTTAATTGTTGCATATAATATTTTAGTTGGAAACCTGGACTGAGATACTCCCATGAAATTTGTTTCAACTTTCTGAGATGGTAGGAATAAAATGTATATATTTCTGAATATAAAAGGAAAAAGAAACATTGTTTTATGTTATATAAATGTATTCACAAGACCAGACACTAATTGGTTTTCTCTTAAATCTAAACTAAAAAAGTCTACTACTACTTACTGAAAATACAAATGGTTAGGTATTTCATTTTTAATAAAACACATTTTTCATCAGGTGGATACTTTCATCGTTTGATATGGATTTAATTAATTAATATTGCTTATTTTTGTTGGATTTAGAAAAGTGCGTTTTCAACATTAAGTATATGATGATGTGGAAAAATTGATGAAAGTATCTATACTCAAGAACTGAACTATATACACAAGTATTCCAATGATTGCTTTTTTGGTTTCGGTTTTCTAAAATACGTTCACTAGAATTGTGTAAAAAAATATTTACATGTTTCAATACTCACTATAACTGGGTTCCAGGATCTTCATAGTTTGTATTTTCTACCATGAATAACATAATACTGTTGAAGGTGTATTGCACAGACATGACATGTAAAACTATAGAATTTTGAAATTTTGTGAAAATCAAAATGAAATTATGACCTTGCTTAGAAAATACAAACTATAAAGTATAGAAGAATATGGCAAATAAATAAATAAATAAATAAGGTGCTATAAAAACATGTAACTTATATTACATTACATCATTAAAAAATGTGGCTGCCACATAGTTGGCTTGGAAGATTTACCGTATAAATAAGGAATACATTCTAAAAATCTATTTTAAATATTTGGCATCATTTACTTCCATAACATATTTATATTCTCGAAGAAGTGACTGGGTATACTAAAACACTATACAATAATTTAATTTTGTAGGCATTCTAAGAACATTATAAATACTTTCTTTTTCCTCGTGTCAAAAATATACTTTCAAAACTAGAAAAGTTAAATGCATACATTAATATCATTTACAACATAGTATGGCCTCTTAATGAAGAACACAATACCGAATGTCGTAATCCAGCATGGACAACGTGAACCAAATTTAAATCTATGTATATATACTTAGGGCTCTGAAAAATATCTTATTTCCATTCAAAGAGAATTATTTTCGAAGGCAAAAATCGTGGACTAGTTATCTAGTTTTTCAGTTTTTACACAGAAAATTTGAATATCGAGATAATACGAATGATTAACGTTTTTAATATTTCAACCATTCATATATGGTTCAAAATATACAATATACTTATGAAACATTCCAAACTTTTGACGAATTAAAAAAATAAAGTTTATTCTTACACAAACATACCATTAGAATATTTTCACTACAAATACTCTAAATATATCATGCAACAATATAAATATGTGGATTTATTTTCGGATGTGGAAAAGGGTTGATTGTGAATGAACAATTCGAAAAATCTTACTATTTATTTCGTAAATGTCCATATCATTGGTACTTACTGGTATCTGACAAGTTTAATTCTATTTGTACTTTGGATTCAACTGGTTTAACTATCATTTAGAGATCAAGAGGCACTGATGAAAATATCTTCGTTCTGGTTATGATAAAGATGATTGCATGCGAATTCACACTTTGGGATTTTTTAACGAACGTAATCATTTGTAAGTTTTATGGTAAATGACGGTAATATCGGTTCCCAGAGAGTAATCTAAAGTAACTGTTCAAAGTCCCTTTTCAGTCTTTCTGGACAGCAAAAGAAGGTCCAGACTATGGCATACCAGGTGACCCAACATCTTTGAAATTGTCGGTTTTTTATAATGTGTTTTTCTGTCTTCTACTACTAGATATTCGACATAGGGCAAAAAAAAATTTCGAGGTATTTTTTCTAGAAATTTTGAGATTTTATTAAATTGGCGTCAAGTTTTTACATAATTCGAGATTATATTCCAGAACTTTCATCGTAGCACACCATTTGTACAGGGTTATTCATCAAAAAGGTACACCCATATATTAACGTCATATTTTCATCAATAAGAAGAAACGATTATGCGGAAGTTGAATACGACAATGAGGCCTTTTCCACAACACTTCACAAAAAATCATAGATTCTGAAAAAAATATATAAAAAAGGGTATTCCATTTAAGAAAATTATTTGTGGTTTGTCACGTTTCAGCGATCACCCTGTAAAACTTTTGATAAGGCTGTGGAAAGATATCTTTGCGGCATTCAACTTCCGCATATTGTTCGTTTTCTTTCATAAAAAAATGATAAGGATAACTCTGTACAAATGATTGTAACAGACGATTTCACCTTTCTTATTTTACCTTTTTGTGTATGAATAATCATTGCTTCAATATCCACTATGACAATTTCATAAGAAGGCGAAAATTGGAAGATTCGAAGAAGATAATTTTCAGAAAAATTCACAATTTCTGTGAAATATGGATGAACCAAAATGTGTTCTTGTGAGCCTTATTCTTCATCACTCTGTATGATATAACTGGAAAACTATAAGTATTGAGCAACGGATTTTGATGAAGAAAAAACAACCTTCGGATGCTGCTTTCTGATTGAAAATCAGATATATTTTTTAAAAAATCCATGACAACTTGATCCAAAATTCGAGTTATTCAGTTTTTTTGAGCACTTTCATTCGAAGTTGAATTGATATCACTAATTGTTTTTGTCCAGTTTAAAAGAGATATTGAAGCATTATGTAGAGGGCTATCCATTAAAGAGAACCACATAAATCTATTGGTGCCTACAGTATTTTATCTTCACCTGTTTCATTTTCACCACATTCTTCCGGGTATTGGACTAGTAGGGGACTAAAACGTTTTTTTTTTTTCGAATTTATGGCAATTGAAAGTACTGTTGGGTAACCATGGTTTTTACCTCGACTATAGAACACTGATTATCTTCTAGGTTTGAAATCGCTGTGAACTTGTAATTGGAAAAAGATTTCGGCAACATCTTCTGAAAATTCAATAGCTACCTGTGAGATCTTAGCACCAAAAAAAAGTATTTCTAAACATGTTACCTATACGACCTATAGTAAGGAAAGTTTAGTTTGAAACAAAAATTTAACCACCCTATATAATCAAGATGTTAAGATCTATAAGGCATATCATCAAATTTTCAGAAGAATATCCTAGTCTTCCAAATCTATCTGAGACGATTGTTCCTGAAACGGACCTGATACAACACACGGAAACATCGGAATCGTAGTAGTCCATGAATGGGTAGGCAACGTAGGCGCCCGCAAACGAACATCATCCAAACAACTTCCGAAACCACCGGAATCCATATCGGATCTCTCCAACTTCAACGAACTATTCATCTCGGACTTGAGCCTGGCCTTTTCCTGGTTCTCATAGAAACCGTGCTGGGCCTTGTTCATGCTCTTGTGCTGATAAAACACAAGAGAAATCCTTGTTGGAGACGTTCTATCCGGTGTTTTCAAGGCAGTTGTCGCGTGCACCTCGTGCTTAGCGCACTCGAACAAAACGCTGCCGTGCGGCAAGGAAATAGCCACGCCACCTATCTCGCTATCTCGGAAACATTCCTCATTGTCTGAATAGCTGATGTTCACAGTCTGCTCTTTCGGCCGAGGCGTGCAATCTCCAGAGGCCGGGGTATACGAATCGTCGAAGGGATTGCTCACTTTGTAAGCCTGCGGATGGGGAGTGGAAGAAGTGCTTGGCAGGAAATAGTAGTAGCTGGGATCGTAATTATCCGGGGAATCGCTCTCGTTCCTGAGGTAGCCCATTTGCGAGTAATGGTTGCTCATGGGTGTCATCGGCGTTTTGAAAACAGAGAACTGCGGCAGACTAGGGGACGGACTAGACGGATAGCTGTCGTTCAACATGGAGAAGGAGGAGTTGCTGCTGTCTGAGGAATAATCGTAGCCCCATGGCTTCTTCGGATAGCCAGAGACCGTGCTGGACACTTGGCCGCTCTGTATCTCCGGCCTAGGGGAGGTGGTGGAAGGGGAAGCAGGTTGGGGGGTGGGCACTTTTCTCGGGCGGCCCCTCTTGCCTCCAGATGGGGCACTCGGTGGTCTGGGCACGGTGTCGCTTGTGAGGTCCTTGCGAGGTCTGCCTCTTTTGCCTCCTGACGTTTTCGTGGCTTTTCTTCGACTTGGCGACTCGCCGGCGACTGAACACGTTCTGACCTCGCTATAAAACCTGTAAAAAAAACTGGAACTCAAAACAGAGTAGCAAGAGAGAATGAACACCCAGAGGGAAAGGAATATTTCGAGCTCAAGGGAAAATCTCGAGGCATATTCCGAGCGGAAAAACGTTAAGACTATTCAGGATCTCGCCTCGCTCGAATGAACTAATAGCCTATATCAACAATGTGCCCAGGCCCAGCTAACTTTGGTGCAAAAGTCGTTCTAATGATGTACAAAAATTGTATTACATGTGGTTGCTACCCCTTACTTTTCGTTTTATAATAGCTTTCCTTTATAATGTCACTGGAAATCAAGTGTCACTTTATTTGGAATACACCGATAGCACGTACTTGGTATCTTGTTTATTAATAACAACAAAAATATCGACATTTTGTGACTTTTTACGATACTTTAATAAGGAAACATGGTTTTATTTCAAAATAGCTTCTCCTTAACCACCCTGTATCTCTAAAACCAGCAATATTTTTATAAGGCCTGTTGGGCTAAATCTTTATATTTGGGTGTTAACTATCTGTAGTACAGTGCTTCCACATACTACCTAGTCCAACTAATGTTGAAAAAAAAAGAACTGAATTTCAGGCTCTACAATGGTTTAACCAAATTCCTGAACATATCAAAAACAGTACATCCATTAACACTCAATAGACACATGAAAAAACTTCTTTAAGAAAATATGTGATGTATAAACAAGTATCTCTTCCTACATGCACTACTTGTAATTTTAGTTGTTTATGCTACAAACATTATTATTTAATAAGTATAATTAATAATTATACAAGTTTGTTGACATGCAAGTCACACATATAATAATAGTAGATGTTTATTACTCATAATGGATCTTGTTATCTCTTAGAGTATTCGAATGAATTAAAAAAAAAAACAAGAAACTAATGATTGCAAAGGCATATTATCTCACCTGTCCAACACCTCTACACCACCTTGTCGCCCACCCTCCCCACCATCGTCCTCTTCTTCCCCCTCCGCCACGTACATGGGCAGCACGTGCAGCTGCTCATCTACCGCCCTCGCCTGCCCTCTGTGCCTGGTCAGTGTCACCACCGCCGTGCACCCGTCGACCATGTTGTGCTGGTCCTTGTGAGCGTGCGCGCAGAAATCCAGGCAGGCGGTGACGCCGGAGAAGGGGCGGCCCGGTTTGCTGCCCAAGCGGCAGTCGGCGGCCACGTGCTCGTGGCGCGTTTGATTGGCGAAAGACTGGGGCGCTAGACATGCGTAGATGGGACTGAGGTGGTCGGCGAGGTCTTGAAGTTTTTCTTCCACCTAGCAGGTGTAAAATAGACCACTGTATATAGCATGTCATAAGTTACATATGGTTAATCGAATGTCAAGTCACTGAATAGCTAAAAATCTGAAGGATATCTCCCATGCAGTAATGAATTTGCGCCTTCGAAGTGCCCACCTGATGTAAGGTTTAGATATTTGATATTTTCATTCCATGATCTAAATAATCTGAGGCTTACGGGTCCCAAAAAACAGAGACAAAGCATTGATAATGTGAAATAGAATTCGTAGAACTGAATGGAGAAAAGAAGACAAGTGGATGCAGCTCCATATTAAGTACTGACCAATGAAAAAGTGAACAACTATTGTTGTCACTCTATTCATAAAGTCACTAACCGCCAACTCTTCGTTTTGCTCCTTGAGTCGGAACTTGCGCGGCACTTTCGACTTGGCGAACTTGCAGCCGTTGTAGAACATGGACCAGGAGCAGCCGAAGGTGAAGCTGGCGCCCGAATTGGCCTCTTCGACGCCCTGGCAAGCGCAGGTCCGGGTTTCGTTCCTGCCACACCTGGAAGAGAGGACATCATCTTTTATCCGTGCAAATTCGGAATTCCATTTGAAATTTTCGCGAAATATAATATGAATGAAGACATACCGGGTGTCAACGTATTCATTTATTTCATGGACTTCATTTAGGGGGGCAGGGACAATGAATCTCCCTGTATAAATGACACAAAACAAAACAGATCAGTACTTTAAATTGAGAAATATGTATCATTTGTTTGAAACTGAAAAAAAGTGTCACTTCGCAATTTTTTATCAATGCGCGAACCTTGTCATTTTTTGACGTTTGTAGAAAATAGTTATTTTTCTGTGACGGGAAAAAAGTTTGGCATTTCATCTCTGTTGGCAGGTTATAAAATGTCACTTTTCATAAATTACTTTTTTCCCGTGGGAAAAAAGTGAGTACTTCTTTCCCGGATATATATCACATATATATACTCTGTTAATGGCTTTTGTTGTGCTATAGTTCCGAAAAATAAGTCAATAATACCGTCTCCGAGAAAGAACTGCAAGTCCTTTTATCTTCCATTCGATTTCGCGGTTTCGTATATTACTAAACAACTAGGTACTGAATTCGCAATTTTTTAAAATCAAATCACAGAATTGAACTGACAGAAGTGACATCAGATATTTGATTACTTCAAAAGAATGATGAAGATGTCTATAAAACGCAGGTGTCCTTACTGTTAAAAACTTGAAATTTCACGTCGATAATTTTCAGATTTCGAAATAATGTAATATCTTCCCAATATTGATTCGTCCTTCCTTCTGTCACAGAAAAAAATAGTGTATTATACACGGGAAAAATATTAGATTTTAGCTCACGGTTTTTTGTCTCCCTCCGCTACGCGTCGGGAGACAACACAACCTGGAGCTAAAATCTACTACTTTTTTCCCTTGTATAATAAATAACTATTTTTGTATCTAGAGCGCGAAATGCTACTTTGGTGATCGAGATCTGATTTTTTTAACGAGGCGTAGCCGAGTTGAAAAAATAGTCGAGCTGACCAAAGTATTTCGCGCTCGAGTTGCAAACAAAACAAACAAACGTCAAAAAATATAGTTCTAAAGTAAAAATATGCTTAACTTGATATAAAAAATAGTGTTGAACTGGCTTGAAAGGTCTCCCCCTATCCTCCCTAGATACGCACGATGTTCCACGAACATAATAGGAATTTCCTTTCATGCGCTCCAAGAGAAAAAACAAAGTTATTGTTGAACATTCAGAAATAAATGATTTTGTGGATGTCTGCTCGATTGAGGACCATAAAGTTGAAATATAAATATCTCATTTATTTTACATAACAGTTTTACTTCGCGCATTGTTTTGTGCAAGGAATCATGGTAACGTAGGAAACTGAAAAATAGTGTCACTTCGCAATTTGTTATCGATGCGCGAACCTTGTCATTTTTTGACGTTTGTAGAAAAAGAATCTTCTTGCATTATTTCCTGTTCAGTTTATATATCATGTAACCCACTTCTTCCTGTCAAATTTTGTCACTGAGATGTGTCACCTAAGACAATTTGCAAAGCACGAGTTTTATCCATCTTTCTATCGGAACCGGGAGCAGATTCGTTCCAGAAGCGTCCAAAGATCAGTGAAATTTTCTATTTTTCAATACCTATAGTCTTTTTCCAACATTTTTCAAATTAGGTGTCACTAAGTGTCATAGGTTTCTAACAGTAAAATTTATAAGCCCATGAAACTTCTTTGGAGCAAATCATCTGACTTCCATTCGCCAAATACGTATTGAATAGTTTTATTGATAGAGAAGAGGCGAAAAAAAACCCGAAAACTTACATAAAAAAGAGATAAAAAAAATGAGTGGAAAAGTCATTTAAGCATTTCAACTTTGTGACGTACCTGCGCTCTGTCGGGAGACCAAACTTGTTGAGTTTTTCTGCAAGGAATGAGTAGAGGTCATCGGCGCTGTTCCTTGCTACTCCGTCCCAGGCTACAAGGCATATCACTATGAATGCGGCATGGCAAGAGTGGCCTTTGCGATGTTTGACTAGGACCAGGTACTTTTCCTCAGTGTTTTGTCGACGGACAATCTGAAAAATGTAGATATTGTTAAGTATCAAGAATGGTAAGGACGGTTTGTTTGAAGACTGAGCACATTGAGGATGGTTCAATCTCTATTCTGCAATGCTAACACCTAGCAAGCAAGTTGAATATCATTGCCCAATACCAGTGTCACTTTTCCTTTCATAGTCAAATATCAAATAGTCAGTGGAATACAAAATCAACAACTCGGCCCAAATAGGAAAAAAAAGTACGTATTGTGTACTGAATGTATGATTCATTATGTGTAGGCCAAATTATAGGGTAGATAGGTTGTTTTCAAGAATGGTCACCTTACATGATGTGTTCCTAGGTCATCATTAATGAATTTAAGTTCTTTTTATTGTTCATTGTTTCATTTTCCTAGAAGTTTCTGCACTCAAGACGAATTGGCTATATTTTACCAGACAAAGCTGATGTGCATTTTCTGTCATCATCATGCACAGTTTTTGAACAGAAATAGAATAATTTGCAATAAAAGACGCTCAATTACATTCGACATTCATTACTTTTGTAGTCAACCTTACAATATAAAATGTCTAATCTTTGAAAATATGGTCATACAAATGAAAAGATACAGGAATTTACTTGAAATTGTAGAAATCACTTGATCAATTCAACATATTTCCATACTTGCCAAACTTCCAGAGGGAATTTACCATTTCTCATTTGATATAAAAAACTTTGTACCTATGAGGAACTTCGAATCAGCATCTCAATATGAAGTGACCCATCCTTGAAAATATGGTTACACAAATGAGAAAGGCAGGCAATAGGAAATTGGCAATTGAAAATCACTAAAATTTAACATGATGATACTTCTTCACTACTTGTCAAACTTCTGGCTTTAGAGATAATTCATCATTTCAGACATCTATGTATGAGGAACTTTGAAACAATGCCACTCGTGTTGCCTATTTGTGCCTGTTTGCAATCAGCTCAAAACCATTTTGCAAGACCTTTAATTTCTTCGATTTTTTCAATCCCATAAACGTCCGTTGATTTATTGATTGAAGAGACAAAGAAATCTAAGTAGCGGTTGTCGTCAAATTATGACATTTATTTGGCAAAATCTAAAAATAATTCTCCATGTGAACAGGAGAAAACACTTTCCAATGGTCATTGTGGTAGAAAAAACTTCAACAATGCCATGTCCAAGTACAATCTGATATAACCCTAGTTGTCATCCTATAAAACAAAGAGCACTACTCACCCATTTGGCAACAGGGCAGCCCTGCACAGTCCTGCCCTCTTTGCGAGTATGCCGCACCCTCATAATCCGTATCGCGCCTCCTTTAACGCCAGTCCTGTCCTCCAAGTCCCTCCTAAGACTCCCCGCACTAGCGGCGCACCCCAGATGAGTGTAAAACACCCCCGATTCCGAGGACGAATCTGGCGGCAGCACGCATGCGCAGTCCATGGATGAAGGCTGGATGTGTTTCGATATTCGCGGTCGGACGGTCTCGGCGTTCTTCACTTGTTCCTCTAGCAGGCGCTGGTAATTCGCCGTTTCAAATTTTATGAAGTCGCTGTTGAGGATGGTACCCGGTGGTTTCTTTTGGGAGTTTTCGTGTTTCTTATTTTCCTCGTCCACCAAGCGCTGGTAGTGTTCGGTTTCGAATTTGATGAAGTCGCTGTTGAGTACAGTAGCCTTCTCATCTCTAACTTGATATTGTCTTGATTGTGCGGATTCATGTCGAGACTTGAGCTCAATGTATTGTTTGTTCACACGTGGTTCTAGATAATTGCAGTGCTGCGTTGAGCCGACTTCCGACTTAGGAGACGGACTTTGTACGTCACCAGAATTATCTTGATATCGGTTTGGAATTGGCTGCTGTGATTGATATAAATGGTTGTGAGGTTGACTTTCATTGTGCATTTTCTGGCCAACTCTATGCCTGTATTGTTTCAAAGAGTTGATCTGACTATATTTATTGAAGGCAGCGCTCGAGTCTTCGTTCTTTGTACTGTAAAAATCGGGATTTTTGTGGGAGCCACCATCAGCACCTAATTGCTTTGCTAAGTGTTGATGGTGGCTAAACCATAAAAAATGACCGGTAGTGTTTTGTTCAGCTGCTTTGTTCTCCTCCAACTTGTTGTCTTGCTGTTGCTTGTTGAGTATCATCGTTTTGATTCGCGTATTGAGATTCACCTTGTCGGCTTGCGAGAACGTCTTAGCCGGCTGCGTCTCCTCCATCTTGTTCGGCGAGTGCGACACTTGTTGCATGTAGTGCTCCTGGTGTTCGTAGTCCGGTTCGACTTTCATGTGCTGCTGTTCCCACATGATTTGCCCTTCGTTCTGCCACTCCTGATGCTCCTGTCCGCCGTACTGGTCCTGGCCTGGGTAACCACTAGAGTTGTGTGAAACTACCTGCGGACTGCTGGCGTTCACTTGCGGGTACCCAGGCTGACCGTTTCCCGAACTTGCGTTCACGTAATTCGTGGCGGAATTCGGGCTGAAATTGCTTATTGTGGTGAATGCTTGCTGTTGCTGTTGTTGCTGCTGCTGCTGTTGTTGTTGCTGCTGCTGGTGGTTGACTTGTTGCTGTTGGGCAGTTTGAGGTATTTGTTGAGCGAAATTCTGATTGGGAGTAGGAGGGTTGCCAATGTTGTTGACGGACCCAGGTCTCGAGGTATTGCCGTTTTGTGATGATTCGTTAGCGGTAGGGGTGGTAGCAGGAGGGATGAAGTTCTGTTGGGACTGGTTCCCTTGTTGAGCAATGTTGTACTCCTGGTACTGCCTACTGTTGTTAGGTTGCTGCTGCTGTTGTTGCTGCTGCACTGGACTAGGGCTGGGAGTGTGTGAGTAATTGGAATTCGGTCGCGGTGGTGCCAGCTGTACTTGCTGGATAGGAGTACTAGATGGTCTGGGGTTGGCCAAAACTTGCACTGCCCCCGAGTAGAAGGTATTCGCTTCGAATGCGGGTTGGTAGGTGGCTTGGTAGATACCGTTCGGGTATTGCTGGTAGGTCTCTATAGGTTGTCCGGTTGGAGGGATTTGTTGGATAAACTGGCTTTGCGGCCACCCTGGATGAAAAGTATGCTTGTATAAGTGATTAGAAATCAATAAATACTACTCTGAATATTGACATTTTGGATTACAATATGTATGTTTCAACAATAATTGATAGGTAGGTACTAGGTACTTACCTTGCGTTGGGTCTGCCTGCCATACTGGTGTGGGAAATCTGTTTGGGTCAGCGTAGAAAGGCATTGGGGCCTGGAAGAATAAAATAAAAAAAATAGTTAATTACTCCACCAGTATTAATATTCCAATAATAATAGTGATAGGGACCAGTCAGTTTTTATTTTTTGCCAATGATGCTGTGAGTGAGTTTCATCGACGACAAGATATTATGGAAACATTATTGTTGTTTCAACTATCGTTCAGTCTTCTTATCAGTGATGATTACATTATCACAATGAAGAAGAAAAGTTTATAGTCAGACACTGATAATTTAACAATTGATATCTGAAAGAATACTAATGAGAATAGTGATAACAAAAAAAAGTTTACTTTTGTATTATAAAGTTAGAGATGTACTTTACTGGGTGTCCCAGTTTACCTGTTCCAATAGTTGTTGGGAAATACAAAGTATTATAGGTACATTAATGGAAACATGATTCCGAGTAAGTATTTGAAAACTGAAGAAAATATACAAGGTGCCATTTTGGGATACCAAAGTAAAAATCCCATAGTGAAAATTTCAATTTTTGATCAAGCCTATGAAAAAAATCGTGAGAAGAATCGAACTTTCCGTTGAGTTATACTTACTTAATGATTTGAAGTGAGTACGAAAAAAAATAAAAATAATAAATACCTCATACTTCAGAATTCCAAACTCAAAAACCTTATTTTAAAGACAAATTATTAGAAAACTAAAAAAAAACAAAACTAACGAATGATCATTCAGTTTTGTATACAAAATGCGGGTAGGGAATATTACCGTAGGTCTGATCCGCATTATATCAGTGCACACTCTGCACCCCCTGAAAACAGTGTCAATTTTCACGACCGATATAGCTTTTCACATCATTTTCACATGTCTGACAAAGTTAGAGGACATTTCCCGCAGAGAGGGAATTATCCTTCACTTGAGTTATTCGATAAATTGGGGCCAGAATGGTTGCAGGGGTGACACCAAACGACAATATTATGGTTTCTCCCAGAGAATTTTCATTTTATAGTGATATAAAATTTTCGTGGACGCCCTGAAAATTGGGAATCTACATTAGATGTGATAAGCAAACTAGGAAGAGATTATTGGACATTTCAGTGCAATAAGTTTCTGATGCCATCGAATTTAAACGTTCAAAAAGGTCCCCGTCCTGATAATATACCCAGTATGTTCATTAAAAATTGTAAAGTTAATCTAACATCACCCCTTCTTCACATTTTCAATTTGTCACTTCACACAGGGGTATTTCCATCTAAATGGAAAACTTCAACTATTATGCCTCTCCTTGAAGGGGACAACAGGAGCAATATCATGAATTATAGACCCATAAGCAAACTCTGTATCTTTGGAAAAATGTTCGAGAAAATTGTTCATGAAAGAATTCTAAACATCACGAAGAATAAGATTATTCCTCAACAACATGGCTTTTTCCCCGGTAGATCCATAGACACAAATTTAATAGAATTTACAGATTACATCATAGAACAAATGGATGATCAAACGCAAGTGGACGTAGTATAAACCGACTTCAGTAAAGCCTTTGATAAAATCAATCACGCATTGCTCATTAAAAGACTCGCTGAAGTTGGTGTAGATTCATATCTTCGCGAGTGGGTATGGCCTTATATCTCTCAAAGATCTCAAATAACAGAGATTAACGGTTACAAATCTGACTCCTTTCTGGTAACTTCAGGGGTACCACAGGGAAGTCATTTGGGACCGTTACTCTTTAAAATTTATATTAACCATATTGGGGAAAGTTTCGAAAATTCGAATTTTTTATTATATGCCGATGATCTGAAAGTATATCGTGCTATAAAACATTTCGATGATTGTAACAAACTACAAGAGGATCATGATTCATTTGTTGAAATATGCAGAAATTCTAGTTTGTTTTTGAACTAGGATAAATGCCTCACAAAATTAAATATCAGTACAGAATAAATGGTCATATAATGAAAACCAACGAAATTCGTGATCTTGGAGTCATTATGGATTCTAAAATGATTTTTAAAACTTATATCGAAAAAATGGTTAATAATTGTAATCGCTTATTGGGATTCATAATAAGAAACACTAAACACTTCACGAATGCTAAAACTCTCTTGAACCTTTATTATGCATTCATATAATAATATAGTAAATTGAATTTTGCTTCAATTGTTTGGAGTCCCCAATATCCCACTTATCAGCAGAGAATCGAAAGCATCCAGAGCAAATTTGTTAAACAACTAGCTTGTAAATCAGATATCCCAATAGTAAACAGCGAGGTAAACAGTAATTACAGTCCAATTCTCAGAAAGTATTCCATGTTGTCTCTCACCGATAGAAGAAACATGTGAGACCTTCTGATGATTTATAAAATATTAGCATTGATTGTCCCGGACTAACGCCCAAAATATCCTTGAGTACACCTAGCAGAGATTTAAGAAGCCATGAAACCTTTAACACACCTTTCAGAAAAACAAACTCAGGATTAAACTCTCCCATTTGCAGAATGGTCAGAACTTTTAACAGTACTGAAACAACTGAGTAGTTTAATCAGGTAAGTACCTTTTCGTGGTGGACATGTCACTTGAATAACCGACTTTATCAATGAAATATCTGATGTCTGTTCCTGTTCACATTCCAAATAAATCGATTTTTTGCCCGTTTAACGTGCCCTTCCCTTTAATGGATCCGACGCTGGAAGCGATTTAGCTACCCCAAGGGGGAGCAACGCGTCCCCGACCTGTCCCAACGGTAGGGGAGACCCTTCAGCTACGCTATCAGACGGTGATCTCCCCAATCCTCAGAAGCCCACGATAACGGGGAATTTTCATTATCAAGGTTACAATGCAGTGCATATTTTTAGGGATAGGCGTAACTGGATGAAGGCGAGCCTAACTGTATGGAGGCCTCCCAAGTTCATCACCATCAATAAACAGGGAAATAATACAATGATACCACATGATACAGTGATTTTCTTTCCATATGGTGACTTTTTATTTCTGGTATGGGTATTTTAAAAACCATCAATTCAATTTCAGGAACCGTCAGTTGTATATCAGAATAGTCATTTGTATTTTAGAAAGTATCAATAATTGTATTTCAGAATAGTCGATAGAATTTCAGAAAGCGTAATTTGTATTTCAAATAATATTTTCTGAAATACAGACACTTTCTGAAATTCATTGGAATATTCTGAAATACAATTGATGCTTTTTAAAATTCAATAGACTATTCTGAAATACATTCTGAAATTCACCTGGAAAATGCGTAGTGTCAACAGATTTCAAATGGCCTTCAGTTGCAACTTTGTGTTCTTATGGCCAACATTTTCGAGTTTTGAAATGTCAACAATACGTCAGCTTTCGGCCTACTCCTATAATAATAGTAATATTCCTTTGTTCTGAATCAGTAATGAAACTGAATTTCAGTTAGATTGAGAGAATTGAAGATATGTTTTAAATTCAATATAATAATATGAACAATGAACATGTACATTTTTATTTAAATTCTATTAAATTCAATGGAAGTTGCTATCACAATAACAAATTTCATTGCTCTTATGTGAAGGAATGTAAATTATTATTTGTAAAAACTACAAGTTTATGAATATGAATAATATTTTTGCCTTCAACTGTTGTTCACCAAAAAACAAAACTTATACTGCCAAAAGAGAACAACTTTAAATCGTATTTCTATTATAAAACAATAAAACAAATAAAAAAGGCTTACTGTAAAATCCAAATGAACCCAAACTGTTTTTGATTAAAGAAACGGCAAATTTTCTCAGTTCAATCAGAGATCGAAACTAAATAAAAAATACAAATGCCACATGAAAGTGGAAGCACAGTGGAAGGGTGGTTGGTGGCAGTGTTGCCGTTTCAGAATTTCAATTTGTACTAGAAGTCCTTCAGAAGTTATACTAAATTCAAGTATATTGTACTAAATTGAGAAAATAACACTTCAAAATTTACGATTTACACATTTGATGAAAAACTTCATATTCATTCATGAAAATTTTGAATAATAATATACAGCACAATAAAACACCTCTGAAAAACGTAGGTAATGAAACAATTATAACTAATAAAAGCCGAAAATGAGAGATGAAAAGGAACAGATCAGATTACAGATTGAGATATTATTATACTAATAATCAATGAAGGCTCCATTAGGATTCCAATTAAAACATATCTTCTCCAAATAATTGTTTTGTATGCAATAATAGCTTGGGCTATCCCATGGAGCTTCGGCTCTTGTTTTTGTACTAGATCAGTGTTAATTATATTGACGTACTAAATGTGTATAAAATGTACTAGAAAAGTACAATAGTACTAAAAACGGCAACTCTGGTTGGTGGTTCGCCTTCAATGTCTCGAAAAGACGGGGAATCACCGCAGCACAATACGCTGTTGCCGGTGCAGTGCCAGCGTGGCGCGAGTATTAAAATTCCCCCCGGTTCCTTGCGGGAGAGAGAAGGACATATTATGACCTCTCGCTCGGTGTTGTTGCATTGCAGTGGCGGTATTTTTAAAATTTCCTTGAGAATATCGAATATACAAGAAGAATGAGAATATCATTTCTGCATGAGGAAATTACTTTTTTCATTAATCTTAGCCTAATATACAGGGTGTTTCAAAAGTCAGTATCAAAATTTCAGGGGCTTATTCTTCCAATCAAAATAATTCTTTTTCCCTATAAAATTGCCATGGGTTTGTTATGTTCATGTTGGATGTAGAAATTTTTGCAGAAAATGATGAACAAAAAAATCGATAATGGGTTTGATGAAGATCGAGCCTTAAAGTAGACTTAAATTAAGGATTAAGGTGAATACAATATTCTCATATTCCTTCTATTTGAGATTTGGTTCTGCTAGCTTAACGGTTATAAGGTAGCAAAACCCGTGATTTAAAAACAAACAATGTGCGAAAAAATCGGCAGTAGGCTAGGACTAGAGCTTTAAATTAGCCTTAAATTATGGTATAGGTTTGTGATTGAACTTTCATTTACAAAGTGGTTTTGCTAGCTTAACGTTACGCTAGCAGAACCCACGTTTTTCTGCATAAATCGAAAAGCAATAAATTCTGTAATAGGGTAATAAATTAGCCTTAATTTAGTCTTAAATTAAACTAAAATTGAAAAATCCAAAGTGGTTCTACTAGCTCAATGGGGGTATGAATATCACTAATATAGTGAATGCTAGTGGAAAAGATCACCTTCAATATTGAAAAGGAATATTCTCAGAACATAAAAAAATGGATATATTTATGAAAAAATACATTGAGAATTCGCATTCTCCATGTGATGAAAATATAAATTCTTTCTCGGTCTATTCAACAGATAACAACTACTTTCCTGGCTATATGCCACGACAAACATTGATTTATATCTATTGCACCGAGTGCACACAGGATACAAATTTGAGAACAAAATCTTCTGAAGTAGAGAATTTGCATTCTCCCCCATATGAAGATATGTACATAATATCATCCTGAATATTCAACAGAAAACAACTACTTTCCTGGCTATGTGCCACGTCGAACATTGAAATATATCTGTTGAATGTCCCAAAAGCATGAAAAATGAAAATCCTCTGAAATTGAGAATTGACATTATTTCTCAAATCGGATGAAATAACATGATGTATTATGATATAAAAATATAACTTACCTATATATGTTCAGTATTGAAATGAAAATTGAAATGTATAATAGAAGAATTATGCTTGTATAAACTCTGATCTTGATGAGCTTTGAACTTCAGAATTTCTTTCCACGTCCTGTATGATGAATGTCAATTTATCATACATCCAAAAAATTACCTTGAATGATACTATTCAAAATTACAAATTCTTATAACATTCAGGCTAATGAAAGAGCTCGTTTTTACTGGAAGTAAACTCAAATCGATTGATTTCAATAATCAGAAGAAACCCATCAAGCATCAAATCGATTTTTTCTAAATTAAATAAGGGTTGAATTCGGATTCCAAAAAATAGGCAGCTACTCAGATAGTGATATCATAGATTGTTTGATATATGGTGATATCTAGAGTTCCTAAATGGACTTAAACAGAAGTGTCAAGTATATTTAGGAACTCTAGTGATATCGACATAGGTCGCGTGCACGAAGACCGACCCTGGAGGCAAAATATTGAAACACAACCTCATTCTTCTGTGAATTATTGAAACACAACCTCACTTTTTTATTTGGTTAGAGAGGAATCAAACGGTTGAAATAGTTTTTCACAATATTTTGGCATACGAATCGTGTTTCTTGCGTTATCCATTAATTCAAGCATGCCTTCGCATTGTGCTGTTGTACAATGCACAAAAAATGCAGCAAGAGACTAGGGAATATGATTTTTCAGGTAAATAGTCATCTCACATAGTTATCATTATGAAATGTTGTCATTCCTTATTAAAATTCCTTCTGCCTTCTGCCACTTCTGCAATACAAGCTAATGCTGCTAATAGATTGAAAATGTCTACAACACACACGATCGTCAGCATGTCAGACCAGTCCTACCGATTGATTGCATGAATCCAATCTTCTTGCATTATTCTAGAAATTTCAGGTATATTTCTATTAGCTGATCCTATTGCAGAAGGAATTCCGATGAGAAATCAGAGAAATAACCAAATTTCAAAAATGAAAACTATGTGAGTGACTATAGTAGTAGGTACTTACTTTTGAATCATAATGTACCATCCGAATTTCTTCATCTTCCGCTGCAGTTTTTGTGCATTTTACAACAGCTCAATGTGATGGCATTAGCGAATTGATGAATAGCGGAAAAATACGATTCATATGCCAAAATAATTGTGGAAAACTATTTCGATCACTTGTAAACAAATATGTTTTGCCTCCAGGGTCGGTCATCTGACAGTTCTTGCACACGACCTATTGGTTCATAACCAACCAAACGTAATTAATCGCGTAAATATATAGGGGGTCGGCAAATCTGAATATGAATAATAAAAGAAAGTACTCACCATAGGTTGTTGCTGCACTGGCATCGGTACGGACGTAGGCTGCGAACTGGGCCTAGATGCGGAAGGCTGCGCGGCACCGGGAGGTACTGCTACCGGAGTACTACCGCTCTCCTGTGGCAATAAGGTACCGGTGGCTGCCGAACCGCTTGGCTTTCGACCTCGGTAGCTCTGCAAACATTAACAAATGATCTTGTTATGAATTATGATTGACGTATGAATAGGAGGGATTGATGAGTAGGTACTTCAAAGATGTAAGAGAGGTATATTATAGGGGTGGTTGCCTAATACTGTATTATTTTCTTTTTGGGCTATTGTAGGAATTTTTAGGGCCATCATTGTGATGCTGTTTTTCTAATAATCCATTTATTTTACAAGGGAACCAAATCAAGTTGCATCTTGCATCTGACAAAATATCAAATTATACAGAATGTTCTTAAAATAACTACAATATGGTTAAAAAGGAAGTAGTACATAGGTACTCCTATGCTTATTAAAAGGGCAAACTAGTACATAAACTATCACTATTTCATTGGTTTATACAAAATCCACTCTGATGACCACTAGAAAAGCTCTAATATATACAGTACTGAATAAATTCATTATTAGACAAACTCTCTATTTCTGAGCAATCTCCTGAGACAGGGCGATTTTAATTCTCAATTTGCCACATTCATGAGGAAAAATTGAGTTATTACGTCCGCGACTATTTCTTCAAATGGAACACCCTCTATGTATTATTCAACTTTTGGAATCTTCATGGAAATCTACGAAGGCCTCTAGAAGGAACACATAAAATAAAAAAATAAAAACTCTTCAAAATTCTGAGTTATATCTCGGAATTTTACATCCAATATTCCGAGTTATAACACGGAATTTTAAAATTCCGAGTTATAACTCAGAATTTTGAAGAGTTTTTATTTTTTTTATTTTATGTGTCCCTTCCAGGCCTTCGTAGAAATCTCTGAATTCAAAAATATATTACACTTAGAGGGTTTCTATACAGTGCGTCCATTAAATTAAGATCAACGTATTGACCAACGAAATATGTAAATCATTACCAAGTTGATTGACGATTAGTGTTATTTGTGATGCTTTATTGCTCAACATTGATATTTTCTATCCCCATAAATGAAATATCACACAGTACACCTATTTGATGAACACAATAAAAATGAAAACAATACAGAGGAACATCTTGACCACAAATTAGTAGCCCTGGAAATTAAAATCGACCTGTTTTTTCGATTTCTCATATTATTCACTGGAAGGAAGATATTGAGTGTGGGATGTTTTCAAAATGTATCTCGGACCGTATATTCCGAGGTGTATTCGTATACAAGATCTCCGTATGCTGGAAAAATAACATTATCAAAATATAAAACATGTAGGTATTCACATGCACAAGATATGGGCAAGATGGCGTCGGTATCTCGCGATCATTCGACCTTGAATATAGTCCTACTTGGACCAAGGACGACAGACAGTTGCCAGGGATAATGTGCAGAATTCACTTCCACCATAGTGGCGTGCAGGCAATCAGGAATACGTGTGTGTGTGTGTGTGCAGAAAACTTTTTTATTGTTTGAATATTTCTGAAAATTCTCATGAGAAATGCGTTTCATGTGATTAAAAAATGATACTCTTGTTGCATTTGGATGACTCAAGCTGTTGAAGAATTTATATGTATTCATGATAATGTTCCATGGAACATAGTAGTAGGGAAGTCTGGGATTTCCTTGGGAAGTCTGGGAATTCTTTGGGAAGTCCGGGAATTCCTTGGGTAGTCCAGGTAGTCTTTGGGAATTCCAGGTATTCATCAAGAAGTCCGAGAATTCTTTGGGTGGTCATTCAGCAAGGGATGTCTAGTGTACCCGAAATTGGCCCATGATTTACCCCTCCTAAGATATCTATTTTTAATCTTAATAATATTCTTGATACCACACGCGTTCAACAAAATGTTCCGTGTGCCAAACTAGTGAAAACATTGAATTACATCATTATCTGTCTTTTTTCTCTGTATTAGATACTAATAATTAATGTACAGTCGTCTTCAGAAATCATGTCGCGGTTGGACGGTGCCAGCGCTCTTATTGCAGGAATTATTAGGAATGCTATCATCGTCCATGTGCGACATGTTTTCTGAAGATGACTGTACCTATTATATATCTATCTAGGTCATATAGGTATGAGGTAAAAGTAAACATCGTTTACCTAGATATAAACACATCGTGGTATAAACCGAGGTATAAACATTGATTTTAACTGTATTCAAATTTCACAAAGATAAGGTAGATAAAATATTCATACCTGCATGAAGATTTCTGGGTATTCCTACTTTACAGTAATTACAGTATTATCTATACCTAGTAATAGACAGATACACTAAATTATTTGTTCTTAAATATTTATGGCAGTAGTACATGAACACATTTGTAACTATAAACAGAAACTAGAAACAGAAAAGCGATCCTTCTTCCACCAGAACAAACGTGAAAGCAGTGTTGCCAAAGTGTTGTTCCAAAATTCGACTTGTACTAAAGTCAGTTTTCAAATTGTACAACTTTGACGGTAATTGTGCAACTTATTCAAAATAGTTATACCTTCATAAATTCGAAGGAAATAAAAATTAATAATGGAAAAAACTTGGAATAATTTTGTCCTTTTCTTTGGAACATGAGCTGGTTCTGGATCATTTCCCAAAGGTGATCCGAATTTCATCAATAATCTGAATGAAAGAAAATACAAATGATTTCTGTCTAGTTGATGAATAAATTTCATAATTGATTCAATCAAAAAATTATAATTATTAATGTCAAATATCAAGCCTTCTTCTTGTCATTATAAAGTTTGTCATAATCCTTCAACGTTATGTGAACTCTATTCCGTCTTCTTATTTTTTACATTCTTGGAATTTTTCAGAAATTGTTCAACATTTCACTCATTAATTTGAACGAACGTTATTGTAGTAAATGTACACATCAATCTTCTGTACAATTGTACAGCATGGAAAAACACAATGCCAACAGTTGAAATTTTAAATCACCAGATCTGTGAAGTTAAAATCACAAGATTTGAAAAAGTATCACCAGATGTCACAAAATCTGTAATAAGTATATCAGAAAAACTAGAGTATTTTTGTGCGATTGCGTATAAGAGACATGGAAAAGTATAAAATTAAACAGTATAATTATTTGAAAAAAATCTTCTCATTTTCGAAAATTTAAAAAATAACATTTTCAATAGAAGCCAACGGCACCTCAGTCAAATGTATTACCAATCAGAATAATAATAATAAAGGTACTTGCATGAAGCCTGCTCATTCCAGTTCATTAGTACTTTTGTGATTTGCGTTTTTATTAATCAAATTATCACTAATTTCATAATTGAAACAATGTTCGATATAAATCTCTTAGTGTTTTTTTGCTTTGGATCTTGTTGGATTTTTTATTATTTTGAACGTTATGTTTTTTAGTCTTATGTCTTTACCGTTGATTGATATTTTACGCCCAGCGTAAGCGTTATATATATATATATATATCAATCGTGTTAAAGTGTTACTGAAGTCAATGTCTATCTATCCTCCCTACTCGAATGGATTGAACGGAGATAAATACACACTTCAATAATACAGAAACATACTCTACCCGTTCCTTATCCCAATGCCGATGATTTTTATAGGAAATGTGAATTGGGTGGTAAGATTTTCTTTTCCACTCTTCTTTTTCTTCCTCTATCCTAAGGGTCTATGATATTCTATGTGGAAAATCATCAGATTTCACAGTTTGTTTGAAAATAATCACCATACCACCAAATTAGCAAAGAAATCGCCAAATCAGGTGATAAATCACTGACATTGGCAACACTGCGTCAAAGTGAATGCTACACTGCTAAATAAAAAAACATGCATTTCCTTTCATTTCATAAAATCGAGCATCTATTTTGTTTCGCCCAACCAAAACGTATGTCTTTGATGCATCCGTATTCTACGAACCCTGACGGAACTTTGCGGTTATTGACGAAGTTTAGGTGGCCTTAATTGTTGATGCGGTATCCCAGATCGATTTTTGTTATCAAATATATTTTGCTTGTTATCTTATGATTATTTTGAAGAGTATAACATTCATTGACTAGAATAATGGTTTCTAGAGAGGAGAGTGTCATCGATATCGAGCAGTGTCGTTACGTCACAGGGTCATGATTGTTATATCAGTGGGGTGAAATGTTGGTTGCCGTCATTCGGGCGCGATGGCGCGAAAACTGAACACATTTTGGATACTTCGAGGAGCGCCTTAATTTGAAATCAAAATTAAATCTACGTTTACGGTTTAACGTTTTCTGATAAACGTCGATGTAATTGGTATATGAAGGGCAAACTAGAAAAATAATCGATATATCTTGTTTTCAAATAAAAATCTACAGTGGCACTGGCATGTCGAGACCAATTGTTAAATGTTACTAGCGATTTTTTCTGACATACTCTTGATCCTCTTTCTACTGAAGACACTGTTAAAAATAAAAATGATTTTACTGAATCTTTCGATCCAACCAACTTACCAATAGAAATCTTAAATCAAATTCGCATGTTTGTAATAAAATGTAAGTAGGCAATTGAGACACACCATTGATGAAGGATCTACATCTACATATACCTAATGTGCGATATTTTTTGAAAATTATGAGATTCTTTAGTTGAAGGTTTCATCAGGTACAGGTAGAAAACTTAGTTGGTTTTTTAGACTCCATTCTTCTATTGTATATGTATTAAATAAAAGGAAATTACGAGATGAAGGATTCATTCAAATTTTGTTTGTAATCATAAATTCTTCATTTACAAATTATATAGCAAAATTTGAATTTTTCAACAATGAGAAATGAAATAATGCGAATTAATTTCAAATTCCGACAAAATTCTGGTTGTAATGTGAGGTTGAGTTAGGTGAATTCTTTACAATCCACAAAGATTTGTACTTTGAAAAATTTTCTTCAGTATTCTCCTATCAATTCAAGAATGTTGATGCAAAACAAGAAAAATCATTATTAGAATCATTGACGTTTCCCAAAATTTCCATAAATCCATAATTTTATTTCTCTATAGGTTTTTTGAGGTTTTCTGTCCTCGTCTCTATACATGAAAATCAAATTGGCTCCAAAATGTCTCTGCTCTCGAAATTTACTTATTGGAAACCTCAGAGAAAAATATTCAATCGCTATAGTCACTGAAACATGATTCTAAAAATGTTTTAAGAAGAAAAATAAAGGTGTTTTTTCTGTGACGGGAAAAAAGTTTGGCATTTCATCTCTGTTGGCAGGTTATAAAATGTCACTTTTCATAAATTACTTTTTTCCCGTGGGAAAAAAAGTGATTTCTTTTTCCCCGGATATATATCACATATATGTACACTGTTGATGGCCTTTGTTGTGTTATAGTTCCGAAAAATGAGTGTATACCGTCTCCGAGAAAGAACTGCAAGTACTTTTATCTTGCATTCGACTTCGCGGTTACGTATTACTAAACAACCACTAAATTCGCAATTTTTTGAAATCAAATCATAGAATTAGACTGACAGAAGTGACATCAGATATGTAATTACTTCAAAAAGAATGATAAAGTTCCATCGATAATTTTCAGATTCCAGAATAATGTAATATCTTCTCAATATTGATTCGTCCGTTCTTCTGTCACAGAAAAAAATAGTGTATTATACACGGGAAAAATATTAGATTTTTAGCGCACACAACCTGGGGCTAAAATCTACAACTTTTTTCCCTTGTATAATATTTAACTATTTTAAAATTGAATTTTGATAATGAAGTCTTCGTGTTCGTCTGTGGACCCTTCTCAATGACATAAGTTGTCAGAAAAGACTGTTAGTTACAGGGTGTTTTTTAAATTGATATTGTATTTACCGTTTTCATATCCGAATAAAGTACCTCTACCATGTTCTATCTATAGGTATCAACTGTATAAGAAGCTATGTTACCATCTCCGTTCAGAAGAATGCAAGCAGATTCTTTGATTATTATTTTTCCTATGATATTGATATAATTATTTCCATTTCGCCATATTGTTGTCCATTTCCAGTAAGGATGAATGTTAAGCCTTTTTTGTTGTATGTAATGGTATGAACTTATGAAACTTTCTGGGACACATCTTTGCACGAACCATAACGGATCAGGAGTTTTTTCAAGACCGGAATGGATGAAAATTTCGTTTCACAAACTTTTCTCACAATAAACTGTGCTTGGCTTTAACATCCAATTCTCGAATTCATTTTTGAGAGGTGCACCGTAATTCCCGTTTTTTCCAATTTTCCCATTTATCTTTCCAATTAAAAATAAATTAATTTTAGCGAGGAAACGCCTATACCAACCGCCAAATTTTCCGCGACATTGCTTAATTCCATTCCGTGTGTATTTACACCTAACGGTGGGAGCCTGAATTCAATAATTATTTTATTCCTCTTTGGTCCCCCGCGGTGGAAATGCCATTAAAAAACTTATCATCCCTGCGACGTCATAATTTCGACGTGGCTGTACGAGATGTAAGTACGTGTGCCGAATCTCGAAAATCGAAAATGACGCACCGAGGCAGCGTTGCCAAACTTCCGCGAAGAAATTGGCCCCTGGAAATCTTGAGAAGAAATTGGAATTTTCGGACTTCATCGCAAATTCCACCATCATAAAACGCATTGTAGTGTGTGTTCTTTCTCCTGGGTCATTCAGGGTGTTATAGAAATGAATACATTAAATTTCAACCTCAAGAAAGCTCCTGGATGGTAATGGCACCATTGTATATTGGTATACAAACTCAACTGTGGATCTTGTCCTAAGGTATAAATCGGTCAGATAGGTCGTACGTTCAATCAGCTCATTCATGAACATATCATGAATTTTTTGAAATAGAAAACAAATTCAACATACGCCAAACATATATTAGAAGATAACCATAGATTTGATGATAATTTCGAAATTCTACACATAGAAAATGAGGGAATGGAACTCAATCATTTTGAATCATTAGAAATCAACAAACTCAAAAATTCTGACATTTTACTCAACGATCAATTAGACCTCAATAGTCTCGTCAATAGTTCACCACTGTTGAGTTTGTTTTCTTAGTAGGTAATAATATGTGTTTGCCATGAACCCTTTCAAGTAAATCCGGTACACATTATTTTAATGTAGATATTGTGCCTAATTTCCGAACATGAAGGTTGAGGTTCAGAATGAGAGTTGGGGCAAGATCTGAGATGAATCACGTTGAACAAGTTTTGAACTGGATCTTATCACTATAATATTGTTAAGCATGGAGAGAAGTAGGTTGAATTTCGGTAAAAAAAAACCCTAATAGGTATAAGAAAATGGAACATCAAAAGCACCTTAATGCAAACATTTCAAAGTCGATTCACCCCACAGCCACAATGTGGAGTAAAAACTTAAGGATCAGAAGTCTTCACTTCACACTAAACACTTCATTGTT